TCAGTATGGTGGCCCTTGTGGTTCAAAAACGACAAAATTTGTTAGTGTGTTGTGGCTTTTAAGTTTGCATACATATAAAACATAAAGGTACTGCACTTTTACGAGTGAACTTTTCGTAAACGCTGGGCTTGCCTATTCCACGTTCTTTCATTTGTCGTATTTTGCTGCTGAACAGACCTGGTACCAGGAACCAGAACCATCTCCAATCCAACTCTGATCTCTGAGGCAGTTTCGGATCCGTTTCTGCTAAATTTAACATGAATCTTTGAAAAAACATTTGAATTGAACTTTATTGTCATACGCATAACGAAATTGTGTTTGGTGTCTCCCGGCTACACTATAGAGTAAATAAACAATTATAAAAAAGGGGGTTCCCTCTTCCTGGACCTCCTGTAGTCCACTATAACCGCCTTGGTTTTGTTGGTAATCGAGACCAGGTTGCTGAGTGAACACCGTTCTGTGAGATCATGAACCACCTCTCTTTAGTGTGTCTCATTGTCCGAGATCATTCTGATGAACCGATTGAAAATCTACATCAGAGTTCCTCCATGCAGCCAACCAGGAAGAGAGAACAGCTTCATCATCCTTAGTTTAGGTTCATTTCAACTTCTCATATATTAAAGATTAGTTTAAACTCATAATGTACTGTAAATATAACAAAGGTTTTAAATCAGTTCAAACTTTACCGTTTGAACTGATTTAAAACGTTTGTTACACAAGGTTAGTCAAAAAAGAGAAGAAAAGGGAACAGCATCAAGTTGCAAAGTCAAAAGAGAAAGACAAAAATTCAAACCTATCAGATCAGAACATCAAAAGTGTCTGTTTATACTAGACTAAAAGCTAAAGTTCAAATAAAACAATTTCATCAGAATATTTGACAGTATTTTTGTCTGGGATGACCTTTGAACCCAAACTAAATGTTTTATACAGTAAAGGCTTGTAAATGTCATTCCTCTGTGAGCGTTCAAGAGCATTTAGTAACATTTCAGAATCAGGTTGAAGTGATTCCAGCAGGAAGTGGGAGTGAGAGGACTCTAGACGGTTATCAGCAACTCCTCACTGGGATAACATGGATCCCGGAATAATCACAGCTTCCCTCTTTGAAGGCAGAGGAAGAAGTTTTAGGAAGAAACACTGAAAGCATCAATCTGAGTGGAAGAGACAAACTCAGCACAGAAACACAGAAGAATCGAGAGTTACACCAAGCGCTGGGTAAAGATGGTAAGTGAATGTGGTGTGGAGGTGGATCAGTGTGTCAGAGGAGCCTCTGAAGAAGGCGCACTATGTCAGGGATAGAGGAGAAGGATATGGGTTTATATATGTTATTGTGACAAGGAGCATGACGGTGAACATCAAAGCTGTCCAGATTAAAGGAATGATCCTTCAGTTCGATCTACTTCATCCTTCCTGTCTGACTTTCAGGATCTCCTATCTTCAACTATTAAACTAGACAGGATAATCATTGTTGGAGATTTCAACATCCACGCTGAGAATCTATCTAACAGCTCCACTAGGGAGTTCCTAAACACGTGTCTGGTCCCACTCACAGAGCAGGCCACACCCTGGATCTGGTCTTTTCTTACGGACTTCTTGTTGATAAGCTGCAGATAAATTATGTTGTGTTCAGTGACCATAAGTCAGTTTCCTTTCATATTAACCTAAATTCTGAATCTCTTTTACCAGTCTCTGCCAAGCAACAACATATTATCTGCAGTTCTACCATTTTAAATTTCTCCTCCCTCTTTGACTTTGTACCTCCTTCCTCTGATGACGTAGAGCTCCTTACCAACTCATTTAATGATCACTGCCTCAAAATTCTAGATCAGGTCACCCCTTATAAAACCAACCGCAGTTCCAGTGCCTCCAGTTCACCCTGGCTGAACAACCAGATTCTTGAACTTAGATGCTCCTATAGAAAAGCAGAATGACAGTGGAAGAGGACAGGTCTAGTTGTTCATCGCAAATATTTTAAAGAACTTCTCGAGTCATACAACGAAGCTGTAGAAAATGTCAGGTCTCCTTTCTTCAGCAACCTCATATGTCAAAATAAGAATAATCCTAAGGTTTTGTTTGATACCATCTCCAGCATAGTTTCTTCAGCAGGCTCGGCTATCTTCAGCTGATGACTGTAACAGATTTCTCCACTTTTTGCAAACAAGGTGCTGAATCTGAGATCCAGCATTCCACCAGCCTCCTGGACTCTGTGATCATTTTTTGGCAAGGGAAATGATCATTTGTTGCCATTTTTGGGGTGTTTATGAATGAGGAGGAGACCCAGCATCCTGTGATGGCACTAATAACATCAAGAGATAATAAATAAAGTAATATTTAGGTCAATTTAACCCTTTACCCGTGACCAGGACACTGTAATCAATTATTGGCAAGGGAAATTATCTTTTTTTTTGTTGCCATTTTTGGGGTGTTTGTGATGATACAGTAGACATTATGAGTACAGTAACATCAACAGATAATACATAAAACCCTTATTTGGTCAATTTTAGCCTCCATGAAAATCTGAGCGATTCAATCACTTTTTGGCAAGTAAAATGCCATTTTAGTTGTCTACAATTAAATCATCAATAAAGAATTTAAAGCTATTTTGAGGCGTTTCTTATAGGTAAACAGGAGGGTGTAGTCTCTATTTGGCAAGTGACAATCTTAATTTTATGTGCTGAAGTGCTTTTATCTTGTTAATTTTAAATAGAGCAAAGTAATGTATAGATGGTAACCTACACAGTGTCAATAAAGCCAAAGCTTGATCAGTTTAAATACTATTTTTCAAGTAAAAATGTGCTCCAAACTAGTTAACTGTGGCTCCATGTCAAGTGGACTAAAAGGAAGGAAGGGAAAAAATCAAATCGCTGGAGAATTGTTTATTTACATTCAATACAGGGTGCAATTTTACATTGTTTATTTATTTTTTAGTATCAAGGCTGTAACATAAAGATAGCCAGTTCTTACCACAAACCATCTTTCAATCGCAAATATTGCGAAAAGGATTAATATATCCTCATTGTGAACGTTTAAGACAAATAGCAACACTTAAAACAACTTCCGAACTGGAAAAACTAATATCCGCGATAAACATCTGTTTAAGTACCGGAAGAGGTTATCTCTGCTTTCTGGCTGTCCATATTGCTAGATATGCTGAGTTTTAGGGCGAAATCCTGGGGAATTTCGTCTAGAAATGCATTACCTAACCGTGCGCGATCCCGCGGTGGCTAATCATTTTTTGGCAGCGAGTCGATTTATGGCAGTTGCTTGGAAACAGAGCGTGCACGAGTACGCTCCACGGACTGGTAGAGGTGTGCGCATGCGCATTTTAAAGAACGTTGAGTGGGCGGTTCTTCAGAAACATCGATTGCTACACCTTTAATTTATTTATTTATTTGTTTATTAAATTCATTAATTAATTATTAAATTATTAGTTAATTAATTAAAGGGGTAGAAGCAAAAGGGGTAGAAGCAAGTGCCTGCTTCTACACTATAGTACTACTACTACTACTACTACTACTTTACGGAACTTAGCTTGTATGACACATCAAAGGCCAGTGACGTCATCACTTAGCTGCATCACTGTATTGCCCACCTCGCTGAGGGATTCGATCAGACAGCATCTGACTTTGTGACAAGTTACGTGTTTTCTCACTCCCACCACAGAATTTAATTTCTTATCTCAGGATGATTCAAGGACCAGTTATGTCAAGACAGCAGAGACAGCGAGCTGAGAAATATGCGCAACTCTCGTATGACCCATCAAGGCTCGAGCAAATTACGCTTCTCACAGAAGAAAATAACAAACTGAAAAGCAAACTTGAAGAAACACAGGAGCACTTTAGCAAGGCTACAGGACTTCCACTTGAAGGATACCAGCTGAGACAACAGTGTATTAATTTGGAAAAACAGCTTCAGGCTTCTCAAAATCAGCTTATGGAAAGTGAGTCGATGCGCATAGCTGACAGAAACTACATTAGCGAACTTGTTCAGAACATTCAAATCCTGCGATCTGAGCTGGAAATTGTAAAGACCAGTGACTGGAAACGAGTCGATGTTATAGCAGATGAAAAAAACACGTTGTTTAACGACATTTTAATCAAACTGAGGCACTACAAAGATGAAATCTTTGGTCTCCAGGCTGCCTTTAATGAGTTCAGTGGGTGGAAAGGTCAAATTAAAACCATACATGGTAAGACAGACGCCTTGACCAGCTCGATAAGTCACCTAGAGGCGAAACTAAGGGACCTGGTGAAAGAAGGTGAAGACATGAGTGTTTCCAAACAAAACGACACCATAATCAATGTGCCTTTATCAGAACTGAGTGATATAAAAGAGAGAAATATAGATTTAGAGTCTGAAATTAAAGGCCTGACCATAAAGAATGATGAGAATGAAAGACTAATTCAGGAACTGAGAAAAAAATTGGAAAACAGCCACAGAGAAGAGGAATGCAATTCTTTAAAATCAACAATTGAAGAGTTGCAGACATCTGAGGCAGCGCTTCTAAAGGAGGTTCGTGAGCTGAAGGAAACGCGCTCGATGTGCAATGAAAAGATTAATAGGCTTTCTCAAACCATTGAAAAGGCTGAACGTGAGAAAATGAGTGCAGAGAAAATTTCTGAGGAGCTAAAACAGATAAACGAAAAATTGCAGATAGTCTCCTCATTTAGGGACAGTTACCAAAAGCAGAAAGAGATGAACATTCAAGAGCCTCACTTGCAGAAAACGATATGTCTGCAGGGGCAACAGATCAAGAGGAATGATTTGGAGGGAAGAAATGAGATACATCAGTCTCTTAATGATAAAAATAAGCTGAAAAAAGATTCTCAATCGTCCGAACTTCAGTTAAAATTAGATAAATTAAAGGTGAAGCTAGAAAACAAACAAGAGCAGTACAAGGAGCTTCA